CTATTTGATACGGCACGTTAGACCTGGAGAATTGTTGGATGTTTGGCACAAATTACCTAATGAATATAAATGTAATTTTAATTTACAAATTCGTTTACCTTGTTACGTACATTATAATAGGCCTGACGCTCAAACTCACTTTGATGGGCCTGCAGATGCGCAGGCTGATTGTCACGCTTGTAATTATTATTTAAAAAAATAAATGAATAAAAATTATAAATGTGTATATATATAAATCCTTACATCACTCATTCTACATCAGTCATGTTGTTAACTTTAACGAGTACCACTAACGAGTTCTCATTCGTTCCGCAGACCCCAATCATATTAAATCCTGAAAATTCATATTTTCTAGGATTGTTGGGGTTCTGTTCGTACAATTCAATACCCAATATTGATGGAGAGAAGTTTTACTATTATGAAAATAATAATCGAAAAAAATTAAAGATCATCGAAATTCCTACGGGGTGCTATGAAATTACGGATATCGAAAAATATATAAAGAAGGAACTGGAGGTGCGAACCAACAGCATTGACGAGTTTTCATTGCAGCCGAATAACAATACTCTCAAATGCGAAATATACTGCCGAAATCACGCTATTTCATTTGTACAGGATGATAGTCTTGGTAATATTTTAGGATTTTCCAAGACAATTCTTGCTCCAGACCGAAAGTATGCATCGGATCTACCTGTAAACATTATAAAAGTATCTAGCATACACTTTGATTGTAACATTACTGAAGGAGCCTTCTACGGAGATAGACCTACGCATTCAATATACGAGTTCCCGATAATCGAAAATCCTGGATATCAGATTATAGAACGTCCACATAATCCGATATACTTACCTGTAAGTAGTAGCAGAGAAATAACAAACATAACTGTTGTGGCGCTTGATCAGCAGCAGAGACCCGTAAACTTTCGCGGTGAACTAAGTACTCTTCATTTGGAGTTACAAGAACGTTAAATGGGTTTAGTTATAAACACTTCTGCATACGTGACGTTGTCAGTACCAACCAGAGCTCCTCAGCGACAGGTCGTTATATCTACACAAAACCTATTATTTCTTAAATCGATTGGATTAAAACCTAAACGAAATGGGAAAACGCCAGCATGATGATGATGGTGATGAACCGGCGATGAAACGTTTTCGATTCGATGAAGGTGGTATCGATCCAAAATTCAACCTTTATAAAAAACCACGATTTGATGATACCATTAGAAAAGAAGAATATCGATCCTATAGTCCATACGTTAAATCGTTCAACAACAGCGACGTCATTGAATTTATCATAAATCAATCTGATGCATTTTTCGCAATGCCTGACACTCTATTGGAAATTAAAGGAAAATTGGAAATTACTGGTGGTGGAAAATGTGAATTAGCACCCAATTTTGGGGCGTTTCTTTTCGATAGCTGTTCCTACAGCGAATGCTCTAGAGAAATAGAAGTCGTTAGAGATCCTGGAATCGTAAGCACCGTACGAGCCTTAACATGCTATGGACCGGAATACAGTCGTTTCATGAGTATTGCGGGATGGAATTATCCCGATAACCCGCTTCTGAATGGTTCAAAACATTTCAATTTGCTTATGCCTCTTAAACACATTTTCAACGTTTTCAATGATTATACTATGATTACCTATGGTAGACAAACATTTCGTTTAGTTCGATCACGTAACGATAATGATTGTGTCATTGTCACAGAGCAGCCCATAACCGGAGGTAGTGGTAGTGGTATGACCTCTACAACCGTTAAATTGATAATTGAAAGTATGGAAGTAAAAATTAAACATATCTTCCCTAATGACGAAATTAAAATTAAACTTATGGAACCCATCAAAAATGATCGCCCTATATTGATTCCGTTTAGAAACTGGGAATTAAATGAACTACCATCAATAACTAAAGATTCTAAACGAGAAATTTGGGCCGTAAAGACTAGTGCTGCCGTAGAACGTCCACGATATATATTAGTTTGCTTCCAAACTGACAGGCGGAATAAACTAAGTAGCGACCCCACTAAATTTGATAATGTTAACCTAACCGGTGTTAGAGTATCTCTAAACGGGGAATATTGGCCAAACGAACGAATGCTTTTAGATTTTAAAGAAGACGACTATGCTATTGCTCACTACAACTACACAGAATTTAATGCAAACTATATAACCGGTACACCGAAAACGGCTCTTCTAAACTATGAAGCGTTCAAACGCTACGCATTATTTGTGATTGATTGTTCAAAGCAGGAAGAGACCATGAAATCTTCTACGGTTGACGTAAAATTGGAAATAGAAGCAGATACAGGATTCCCCGCTAATACCAAAGCATATTGCATCATAATTCATGATCGTTTGATGGAATATCGTCCTCTTACGGAAGTAGTTAAGAGTATTATATAAGTCTCTCAGTCTCGTTTCTGTCATCATGAGGATCGCATTCGTTGACATCCAAGGCTTCTGCATCGACGGTATTTTTCATCCAAAGGAATTGAGTATCGCAATTGGTTGTAAACAATACCACGCTTTGTTCACACCGCCTACACCTTATTCTAATCTAAATACGCCTGATAGAATTAGCGCTAGATATGTTGAGAAACATATTCATGGGGTCAACTATTCCTCCGGAGACGTGGATTATTCCAAGTTAAACTCGATTCTGGAAACATATTTACTAAACCATGTTGATTGTATTTACGTGCGAGGAAGTGAAAAAGCCGAATTTTTACTAAAAAATTGTCACGTGTCACGTCCTATAATAGTAGATGTATGCAAGTTCGATGGAACCCCGTGTGCAACAGAAAAATTCAGTAGTGACTCCAAAACCTGCATGTACCACGCCAATGGATCATTTAAATGTACCCAGAAGAACGTCGAAAGTCTACGCCAATGGTTTCTTAATTGCATACCTTTGTAATTTTTTTTGTTATTAATAAATGATTATTAAAGGAAATGTTTTTTAATTGAAACCCCTTATTAATTTCATGCATTTATTTTCGTTTTACAAGAAGAATAAAATTTTTTATTTATAATTTTTACAATAATTTTCAATATTATAAACAAAGTAGATGATAGTGTTATACAACTAACTACATATAATTTAGAATATTTGGGCTCTGACATGTCACTCAAATCGATCGGTGGTGGTGGAGTCGTAACAGCATGCCAATCTTTGAATTCTCCTTCAGTGCCATCATTAAAAATCAATTTTAATTTGTATCTCTTTGCTTCATCGATTGCTATGGAAAACGTATTTAGCTTCATATTATTTACCACCGAGAAATTCATCTTTCGCCATTCCGTTTGATTATCAAAACGTATCGCCATCTGTTGTACGCCCAACGGTACATTGGTATACAGTACGTTGTTTAATATAGCCGTAAGTATAATGAAATTAGCCTTTAAGATGGCCATATTTGCGTCGGTTGGATTCTTCTAAGTGGATACTGATTAGGATAATATCTCTCAAAGCCTTTATCCCAAAGACTTAAATTTGTCAAATCTCTTAAAACTTGTTTTTTATCTTCATATAATTTTATGTCTCTTCTTAGTTTTTGAACTTTTATACCAAACTCTTCAATTCTACGTCTATTCTCTTCGCTAGACATCTCAATACTGAATACTTATTTTACTTGTCGGGTGTAGGATACGCCTCCTCTCGGAGATCTGGGTTGTTAACCTTGACGCTTGATACTAGCAGAAACGTCAAACGTTAACCGTAAAACGTCAAACGGTAAACGTCAAACGTCAAAAACGTCAAACGTCAAACGGTAAACGTCAAACGTCAAACGTCAAACGTCAAACGTGAAACGCCAAACGTCAGTCGTCAAACTTTCCGGTGCACATACCCCCCATTTAAATCGGACCACGTGATATACGCTAAGGCCCTTCTGGCTTTACGCAAAAATTCTCTTGTACGTTAATCTATACCACGATCTCTACGTAATGCCGTTTTCCCCATTTAAATCGGACCAACGATAGCTAAGATATACGCTAAGGTCCTTTTGTCCTGTCATTGCGCATGATTTTTCTCTTGTATGTTAATCTATATTCCTCTCTCTACGTAATGCCGTTTTTCCCATTTAAATCGGACCAACGATAGCTGAGATACACGCTAAGGTCCTTTTGTCCTGTCACTGCGCATGATTTTTCTCTTGTATGTCAATCTATATCACGCTCTCTTCATAATGCCGTTTTTCCCATTTAAATCGGACCAATAGCAGTGAAGATATACGCTAAGGTCCTTTTGTCCTGTCATTGCGCATGATTTTTTCTTTTCAACTTTATTCTATATCACGCTCTCTTCATAATGCCGTTTTTCCCATTTAAATCGGACCAATAGCAGTGAAGATATACGCTAAGGTCCTTTTGTCCTGTCATTGCGCATGATTTTTTCTTTTCAACTTTAATCTATATCACGCTCTCTTCATAATGCCGTTTTTTCCATTTAAATCGGACCAATAGCAGTGAAGATATACGCTAAGGCCCTTTTGGCTTTATCACTACGCAAAAATTCTATTCGACGAAATTTAATCCCCCCACTACCCCGTTTTCCCCACTCCCCCGTTGGTGGCTCGACGAGTTAGTTGAGATGGTGTGACCTTGATTTAGACAAAAATTGCTAGAATGAACCTTAGCGATTTTCCATGTTAATTTACATAAGGATTGTTCTAGAATGAACATAGCCCCTTTACTTAGTATACTCTAATGAATCGCTCTACCATCCTTTATTATGTTGCATAAAAAAAATACATATATATCGGGAATTTATGATATAAATTTGTATCTCTGCTGTATTCCTATCGATGCTATGACTTGACTTGAGCAGAAACAATTAAAAATTTAGAGAAAATAGTTTCATTAAAGAACTTTATTAAACGGTGTTTAACGCTGGTTGGAGTCTAAGAAACGTAACTGCTCTGAACTCTGACTAATGTCGTTTTAAACTGCCACCTTAACTGCTTCAACTAATAAACCAAAAAATATATAGTTGACTCACTATGCTATCCGGAGTTCTCACTTCCTTGGCAGACTCGACGAACCTTGTAACCAGTGGTTTGAAGACATGCGACACGATGGTACTTTCGATTCCTCGTATTCCACCACCCCCAAGGCCTGTGCCAAAGTTGGTAGCATAACCACCTTGCGATACTGTGTCTTGTGATTTTCCAGAGCCCCTCTTCTGGTCTATCGAAATTTTGGAAAATTTCTCAAAAAAACTACTTACGAATCTTGATAGGATTGACTTTTTGATGATACCCCGTTTATTAAATTGTCTTTCTGTGTTTGGCAAGTGATTTTTCGCTATAGTTTAAATGTGGTTGAAGTATTGTGGTAGTGTAACGGTTTTTATTAAGTTTATTTCATTTTAAAAACTAACCTTTTATAGTTACTTACCAGTTTAATAAGATTTTAAAATTTTCAACATAATAATGTTCAAATAATCTCTCACTATAGTGGCATGATTCCCTGAAGAGTACGAATTTTAAAATACTTCAAAAAAGAAGCAACTATTATTGCCAACTATTATGCAAGTAGTAATCTTTATTTTAAATGTTGGTTTTTAATTTGGTGTTTTTGCGAGTGTACCTTTCTGAAAAGTCATCCCTAGTCAAGATGTTTCTAATTTCCTCTACGTTAGCTACTCTAAAATGATGAAGTCTCAGAAAATGAGGCAGGAGGAACTCAAGACCAAGACCAGCATAGCAAAGTTTTGTAAAAAGAACGATATTTCCATACAGTATTTCACGCATATATTTCAAATACAGATTTATAATATTTAAATAAAATTAGAATGAAAGTAAAAAAATATTTTTACTTTCTGTTTTATGTATATTAGCCTCTACATTAATTCAAATAACTTAGTTATATTTGAATAGGTTTATGATGTATTTAAAGTGATTCTTTAACCCTTGACCTGTTTATCACTTTTTGCAATATCTAACTTATTACATTAATTATAATTAGAAAAAAATAGCCAGTCTTTTCCTAGTGTAGTGCGAGAGAGAAAACAGATCTGATCTAATAAGGTTGACCTTGAACCGATATTTTTCACCGGAAGTGCTCATTGTTGTCTCCCATTTTCCCTCTACTTTCTTATATACCATTTTTTTTATTTCGAAATTCCTACTAATATATATTTTGTAATGTTTAATGGTTTATCAAAAATAAGTCCTTAAGATGTTGAGATGATGAAGTAAGTGATTTTATTATAATGTAATTGGGCTAGAGAATGAGTACCCGGTATATAATTTTTTTTATTTACGGTTTGTGCGTGTTTGTTTATTTCAGATATAATAAAATTGTGTTGTTTTTGTTGACGTTAGTGTTTAAAATGAGTAAGTTTAGTAGTAAGGATCGGCGACAGGAATTCTATTGGTGCTGCTAAAGTGAAAATGAAGTGAAATAAACATTGAAAGTATGAATACAGGTGCGGAGTTTGGTCTGGCGGTTCTGTATTTTTACCCCTTTTTGTGTTTACGTTGTGTAACCCATCATTTATGGAGATTCAAAGATTTAGAAGTTATTGAAATAACCCATGGAGTAAGTTTTCTACATTGATTTAATGTCTAATAGAGAAAATTACAATGTTATTTCATTCTGTTACAATTTTCTATACAAAAGTATTTTTTTTCGCAACTTTTGTGAACTATGTGTGATTCGAAATAGAAATAAATATCTTTTTTAAATGTATCTGAGTGAATCTGAACTGATGAATGACATGCCACGCGCCATCTGGATTCTTACGATGAGTTTTACCCAATGACAGAAGCGTTGTTCACAGCTACTGAATTTTTTCATTGTTTTGAAATAATTTTAAATCAAAATCGCTGATTTCATATACTTTAAATTGGCATTTATATTTATGTCAATAATTTAAAAAATTATTGACCATATTCCAGTGATTTGACTCCTATTGATTTCTAGCTCAAATTAAATAATAAATTAAATAAATAATTAATTTAAACAAGTCTTCTTAAAAATTACATTCATTTGTCTACATTTGATGTGATCAGATTAGGTTAAGAGTATGTATGGTTTAATCTTTGGTTGTTCCAATACGTATAAAAAATCATGTGAGTTTTTGTAACCATATGTGTGAAATATTGTACAGAGAAAATGTTATTAATGAATATCAAAGTACCAATTAAAAAAAAGTAGAATACATAAACCATAGACTGCTATTTGAATAAAATTAATTTTTAAAAACCTTTTTAATTTAAAAATGTTAATATTGGTTTTTTATTAAATCATTTTCCATATTGTGATTCTATATTGTTGTTCATGATTAAAAAAATGTAGTTTATTACTTGTACTTAGAAAAATAGAAATATGTCAGCTTACAACATGAGTGGTAAAGTAAATTATTCATATAATTTGTTTAACTTTAAAACTTATCATTATTTAGTAAATATTTTAGTGAACGAGTTAGTGTTCATAAGGGCTTTATACAAATCATTATGTTTAGAGCTAAATATTTGATTAATCTTAACTCTCTTCGTACATTCCATATTATTATTATTATTTCTTATTATTATTCGTCTGCGATAAAAACTACTAACTACCTTCTACACTTATGTTGTAAGCCTTAGCAGATTTTAAAAATAATAAACAATCATTAGATCCTAGTAGTTTAATGCATTTCTTACTCAGAGGTGACAAAAGAGAACTTGGATCAATACAATATCCCACATATGAATGAAACAGATCCATAACTTCCGGCAGTGGTTGATATTTCACGTAATCTTTAAGAAAACTCTTGAACTGTTTTGGACTTGCTCTGTTCAATTTCACTAAAATGTTTTGCGATTGAGTCCTCATAAATTCGGCAGGCGGTCCTCTGTGACCTTCCGAACATCCTTGAGGACAGCCTAAGTGTTTCAAAACCCTAAAAAATTTGTTTCTATTTAATTCACCATTTTTACCAGGATGTTGATATAGAATGCTACTTGCAAGATATTTTGTATGATAATCAATGAATGTTTACCTTATTATGATGTTCATAATAAGCCTGTGTGAGGACACTGGTTTATTTTTCTCGGACTCTGCTCCAACACCAATTGATCCTTGGGTAGTACTCGAGGGCATTTTTCCTGTTCTCTTATCTGGGCTTGCAGTTTCTTGTTGAGAAGCCGTACTACCCATTGCTTCGTCTTTTAAGCATTGCTTCAGAACTCCCATGTCCATTAATAGTTCTATGATGTTTAATATTACTTCTAGTACTCTTAAAGTGCATGATGCGTTGTCTCTTAAAGACGTCCTGTGAACAGCCTTAAACAAATATTTGAAAAATCTCTAAATAAATGCAATACAAATAATACAATATATGGAAAACTAATGGAGAACATTCGGACCCAGTCAATAAACAGAACTAACAAGGAAATCTATATTGGGTGTTGGAAACGTACACTCAATTTCTCAGAAAAAGTTTGTTTAAGCTGACATTATAAATAATCAAAGATTGCTAAATGCTAGGAGTAACTGGATATTATAAGGAAACTTTTAATTACCATAATTAGATGATTGTAACCTTAATGAAATGATTAGAAAATCTTACACTAGCAAGATGAATAAAACAGTTTTTATCATGTTGAAATTGAATGGCCAGTCCATGTCCTGACTTTACGACGCTTGATTACTTTTTGTGTGGTTTTCGTAAACTGTACGCAATGTTCTAGAGTAATTTGAGTACTACGTTCACTATTGTCAAGCTTCAGTTATGTCAATTTGAACACTTTACTTGTACAAATCATAATATAATGTTTGATTTGTCTTCATAATTACCTGCAATACTACTTGTAAATCTATGTCGCCGTCTTTAGTGATGTAGCAAGTAGCTCCTGGTGCCTCAGGGACATCTTCTCCTGCATAGGTAATGTTAGAATCAGTTTGAGATCGAGTTAAGCTTGCTTTTCGTTCCTGCCAGTTGCCCAGCTTACTTCCCGATAAGCTTGCAACGTCTAATTGACTATCCATGGATCCCTAAAAATGTTTTATTGTTAATACTTTCTATAGCTCACTTAGATGAAACACAAGGTATTTTGTTTATTTTAATAAAAAGTCTAACCTGTCTTTTTAAATAATCTGGAGATGGCGTTGGTGTATGTTCAGTAACGGTTATTATCGGGTTGGTCATGGGCTGCGATGACGAGAATTTCCCCGCTCTTTTCACTTCCCAGTGGCTTTCGTCAATATACCTGATGAATATTTTTATTGAATAATATATTAATATTTTTGGTCAAAACTTATTTAAATAGAGCAGGATAGGATGACTACTACTAGAAAAGGGAAAATATGAAGCTTTTAGAAAATAAGATATTATATTAGCCAATCTTTTGTAATAAATAATAATTCTAGAAGCCTTTTAAATACACACATGAAAAATGTCTCTTCAATATCTTCCGTAAATTGATTGTTAGAATCAAGTGTTATTTTCTATAATCCGCTACTGTCTTCCTTTTTAAATCACTCATTTGTTTTTATGTGTGTATTTTTTATTTGTCAATTGCCTAATATAATTTCTATATTAAACTTCAATATACTTACCCCCCTTGGGTTAGTTCATCTAAAATACAGCTAAGAAAGACAGAATAATAAGAACATTCAGACAGACAAAGATGCACATTAAGATAAAGATGAAGTGGGTACATTTAACATTGAGGGAGTCACTGCACAACAAATAATGTATTTAGAATGTTTATACTGCCCTACTATGGATTTGTTGGTATAATACGAAAAAAGCTATTTAAAAAAAAAAACAAGAAAAAATATTCTAAATAAAATTTTAAAACATTGTAAATTATCGAATTTTGCACAGTGACGCCCGTGACATTAAACATTTAATTGTTGGGTAAAAACACTAAAACAACTATTAAAAATATTGTTGTGCTATAAGAATTTTAAATATAACATATTCGGTAAATCTCGTAAACAGGTCGATAGTTTAACGAAGGCACAAAGGAATCGAAAAAAGCAATATGAGAAGGCAAAGAAAGATATATCTTCAAATATCCTCTTTTGGCTATATTTCTATACATAGTTCATCTCGTATATTATACTTGTTTTGCTGTAATATAGTATATTACATTACGAGTTTGGAACGTGACATTTTTCACACAAGTGATGTACAATACTTTTCCTACGACTACAAAATAATTTTATCAAAAAAGATAAAACTAGGAAATTTGGCTATAAAGGTTCCACCAAGATGTGGCTGGTTTTAGATTTGTTTTTATATATGCCCTATTGAATAATTTTTAAAGCGTTTTTAACATAGTGTTTTGTCAAAATTCAAAATATTGTGATTCCATTTACCAACAATTTCATAGGATGATAAAGATAACATAACATTAGGTACAAAAAATATTAGAATACTTACATTAGGAGAGATTAAAAAAGAATTGGGCTGCAGAAGAACCGATAATTGAAACAATCTCTTGGGGCTGAGACAGGCTAAGATACTTCTGAATGAATACAACCAGAAAAGATCGGAAGCTTGCATCTGCCTGAGCAAAAACAGGCTACGTATTGTAACAGGGATCCTTAACGGGCATTGCCGACTAAAAGGATACCTAAGTAAACTGAGAGTAGTAGAGGATAGTAAGTGCAGATTCAGATTTACATCCTAACTGAATGTGTAGCACTCCACAATCCAAGGGCACTATATCTAGAAGGATATCAAACAGAAGAGGGAGATTTACCTAACTTGAAGCCACTTCCTTGAGAAAATAGGATTGAAAGGGTCGTTAGTGCATTGGCGACATAAGGGGACTCAATAGATGTTTTAGGTCGCAGTGTATTAACACCCCATTCTCAACATAACATATATTAGTTTTTACTTTTCTATCTGTATACATATTATGAAAGTATAGATAACATGATTTTTTCGACCTCGAGTTTTTAACGGATTTTTACGTTTTGTAGTCCCCTGAATCCACTTTTACTATATTCGCGATGTTGTGTGTTTGTGTTTGTGTTTGTGTTTGTGTTTGTGTTTGTGTTTGTGTTTGTGTTTGTGTTTGTGTTTGTGTTTGTGTTTGTGTTTGTGTTTGTGTTTGTGTTTGTGTTTGTGTTTGTGTTTGTGTTTGTGTTTGTGTTTGTGTTTGTGTTTGTGTTTGTGTTTGTGTTTGTGTTTGTGTTTGTGTTTGTGTTTGTGTTTGTGTTTGTGTTTGTGTTTGTGTTTGTGTTTGTGTTTGTGTGTTTGTGTTTGTGTTTGTGTTTGTGTTTGTGTTTGTGTTTGTGTTTGTGTTTGTGTTTGTGTTTGTGTTTGTGTTTGTGTTTGTGTTTGTGTTTGTGTTTGTGTTTGTGTTTGTGTTTGTGTTTGTGTTTGTGTTTGTGTTTGTGTTTGTGTTTGTGTTTGTGTTTGTGTTTGTGTTTGTGTTTGTGTTTGTGTTTGTGTTTGTGTTTGTGTTTGTGTTTGTGTTTGTGTTTGTGTTTGTGTTTGTGTTTGTGTTTGTGTTTGTGTTTGTGTTTGTGTTTGTGTTTGTGTTTGTGTTTGTGTTTGTGTTTGTGTTTGTGTTTGTGTTTGTGTTTGTGTTTGTGTTTGTGTTTGTGTTTGTGTTTGTGTTTGTGTTTGTGTTTGTGTTTGTGTTTGTGTTTGTGTTTGTGTTTGTGTTTGTGTTTGTGTTTGTGTTTGTGTTTGTGTTTGTGTTTGTGTTTGTGTTTGTGTTTGTGTTTGTGTTTGTGTTTGTGTTTGTGTTTGTGTTTGTGTTTGTGTTTGTGTTTGTGTTTGTGTTTGTGTTTGTGTTTGTGTTTGTGTTTGTGTTTGTGTTTGTGTTTGTGTTTGTGTTTGTGTTTGTGTTTGTGTTTGTGTTTGTGTTTGTGTTTGTGTTTGTGTTTGTGTTTGTGTTTGTGTTTGTGTTTGTGTTTGTGTTTGTGTTTGTGTTTGTGTTTGTGTTTGTGTTTGTGTTTGTGTTTGTGTTTGTGTTTGTGTTTGTGTTTGTGTTTGTGTTTGTGTTTGTGTTTGTTTGTGTTTGTGTTTGTGTTTGTGTTTGTGTTTGTGTTTGTGTTTGTGTTTGTGTTTGTGTTTGTGTTTGTGTGTTTGTGTTTGTGTTTGTGTTTGTGTTTGTGTTTGTGTTTGTGTTGTGTGTTTGTGTGTGTTTGTGTTTGTGTTTGTGTTTGTGTTTGTGTTTGTGTGTGTTTGTGTTTGTGTTTGTGTGTGTTGTGTTTGTGTTTGTTTGTGTTTGTGTTTGTGTTTGTGTTTGTGTTTGTGTTTGTGTTTGTATTTGTGTTTGTGTTTTACTATTAAAATGGACAATAGTATATTATTAAACGAGCAATTTATGGTAGGCATTAGTCACCCAAGTGAAAAATGGCCATAAATTGCAAAAAAGAAGGAGGTTCTCAATTTGTCATAATATTTTTTTTATGTATGTTCAGCGGTAATTCTTTTTTCTACGACCACTTAGAAAAGTGATACATATCACACTATATAGTCCTATGGAAAGTGCCCTATATCACACGCGTATGAATAAGAATTTTCTTTCCACCCGTGTACGAATATGCTACTTTCCGCAGTACCTAGCTGTCACAAAATGTCAAACATATCATTTCTATTTTGATTTTTGTAATGTCCATATTAATACTAAAATCGATATGATTGTTAAATTATTGAAATTGTTGTAAATTAGATCCTAGATATTTATCTTTAACAATTATTATTAAAATAATTTTAAAATAACTAAGATATGTTTGCTTTTTATTCTGGTTAAACACATAAGCGATTAGATCAATCAATTAACGTAAGACCTGTTAGTTTAGTTGGTAAGAGCGTCAACTTTGCAATTTGAGACCGTCGAGCGACCGCGTTCAAATCCTGGCTGTGCCAGAGTTTTTTTTATTTGTTTAGAAAATATGAAAATTGGATAAATACGATTATTGTTGATTATTTTTTTAAATACATTTTAATTATTATAATAATAACCTGGTTTTACATTTTTTGATGAAATTATTTTGTGGTCGTAGGAAAAATATTGTACATTACTTGTGTGAAAAGTGATTTTCCACACTCTTAATGTAATATACTATTACACGGTACCCGATTTCAATAATTTTTTTTGTTAAAAAGGGTGTACCTCAGGGGTGGTCCCCTATAAATTTGGTCAAGATGTGGTGATGACATCTGCACGATTTTGAAGTCGATTTTTTAGAATTACTTTTTATTCCAATTTGGATCATAAAGATGGTTCCAAGTTTTGGGACAAATTTCGAATCATCACTGGTCAAAAAGCCGAAACTTACTCCCACATCGAAATCGACAGTATAATACACACAACTGCCAACGAAAAAGCTCTAGCACACAATACACACCTTGAAGCCATTTTAAGAATCCCTGACAACCCTTAATTTACAGACCATTTCCGACACGAGACATAATACAACATCCATCAGACACTTGCCGCTCAAGTCTTTCCATTGGATGTCGAAAACCCCCTCACCGCCCCCATTCACCCACCAATACGTCCAATACGGCTGAATAGCTCCCAAAAACACGGCCTCTGGGCTCTTTTCCATACATAGAAGAACGCATATTTTCCTGAAACTATGTTTCATATCCTTACCCTATTCCTGAACGCCTGCCTCTTCTTCTCCTACTTTCCACTTGCCTGGAAATCCTCCAACAACATTTTGTTTCCCAAAGAAGACGAAGACCCCAAATCCTTAAACTCATACCGTCCTATCTCTTTTATATCAGTACTAGATAAACTCCTTAAACCTCTGCTCAAGAAAAGAATTTGGGACTTTTGTGAAGAGTGTATCATCATACCTTACTCCCAACATGGTTTCAGACTTCATCACTCCACTCAGGACCAATGAACTGGAGTGGGGTAGAATGCTTGTACAATAGACTTGAGATGCGACTCTATGGGCGAAGACAGGTTATTTTTCATCTCACTCGGGAGTATTTATAACGACCATTTTCTATTTCACTTTGTTATTGTCTGATCCACCAGCCTGTGGATTGAACAATAACAATGTGAAACAGAAAATGGTTATTATAAATACTCCCGAGTGAGATGAGAAATAAAAATGGCTGCGCCCATCGAGTCGCATCTTGTTCAATTGATACAATATGCACATTAGCTTTCTACCCCACTCCAGTTCATTGCTCAGGACGCAATCTCTGCACTTCACACTACTCTCGCCAAATCTCAAAAAGCCTTTGACCAAGTCTGGCATGCTGGGCTAGTCAAAAAACTCATATACATACATAGGTCTCCCCCTAAGTTTTTTTAAAATGTTAACCTCTGTTTTTACCATGTAAAATACACTCAAATAGCGACCTTAAAGTTAAAGACAATACAAGTGATTTACGATTGAGATATTTTCATAAGCCGATTTACCTCCTGTGCTTAACGCTTATTATGACTAAAGGAGGCGCTACACACTACGATTTTTGTGAGATTTAAACTTTATAGTCCATCAATTCTGTTCATAACTCAACGTGAAGTGCTCGACCTGACTCACATCTGGCCTTTCCTCTTTGGCCTCTCCTCTGTGGCCTCTCCTCTTTTGTCATATTTTGTCTAATGTAAAGATAAAGAGTGAAATGAGCTGATTAAAACTTGGCTTTAGATCAGAACTGTGCGTTTAGGCCTGCAGGTCATGTCGGAGCGTGTAGGGCCTTCATTGGTATCTCATTTACGACGATTTATTTTATTTCGTTTCCGCAGTTTATTTGTAATTTCTCCGATTTATTTAACATTTTTGTCAAATTGCCAACCTGTATTAGAGATTTGCCGAACTTGTATAAATTTAGAAATAGGTACATTTGAGATTTGTTTGAATATTCCAAATGAATACTTATAAGTGTTTAAATTAAGCTCATGGTTCTTTGTATTTTACTTTTTATTTTCTAGATATGCACAGTTTACTGGGAATGCAACTAAACTGGGAATAATCACTACCAATACCTACTAAAAATTTTAAAAAGTTAATTTCTTAATGATACGTATTCGGTTTTGTTTTATAGATTATACATTATAAGTTTCTAGTTTTTAAGTTAAGCATTAATAAAAAAATAATTCAAAAAATAGTAGATAATTTTTTAAAAGAGTATATAATTAATTTCAAAATAATTTAAAATATATACCAAACGGTTTCTAACCTCACCTCTTATGCATATAATACTAAATAGTGTTTAAACTTACCTCAGACTAGGCATACTTTTTCCTTTGACTAAGTTACTCGGTATCTCAAACATTCTGGAAATTGAAGATTGAGGCCTTGTGAGATTTTCATCCCCCGTATCTAAACTCCGATGATAGTCTTGCTATAAAAACAAATATCCAAAAATTTACATTGAAATTGATAAACTAACATATTAAACTGAATATGATAAAAATATTATTGGTCACAGAAATTGGTCAATAGAGATGCTTTTTATTGATTAATAGTTAAATGACTTAATTTCAACAGTTATTTCAAAAAAATTATATTTGTTATACCTTGTATATACACGGTGTTTCCTAACCTCTCTGAAAAAAGGGAAGAGGATAAATCTCTCTCACCTAATTTTAAGACGAAAATGTAGTACAATTTTTTAGAATGCCGCTTCGTTTTCGAAATACAGGGTGTTGAAAAAATACAATTTGATGCTTTTTCTGTTTATTATTAATTACTGGCAAACGATATTCCAGTAATATCTGGTACACATAATATGGGGTTTTAGTACTTTACTTAAAATTAATTTTACGTTAGATAAGATAAATATATTCAACGCTAAACAAGCCCGCATTATTTATTTTTGCGAAATTATGGAACTCGTTACCCGGAACTCCGCTAGTGAACTAATTAAAAGTTTGAAATGACACAAAGTAAAGTACTACCCACATAACATCAATGTCCTATAAATATACAAAGAACGTTCTGTTTATGTTCTATACCTAGTATATACTTTGAAAGTATGTTCTAAAAAGTATATATTGAGCACGTGCTATAACATGATATTCTTAGAAGATACTAAAAGTCATATACCCAGCATGTACCTCATATTCTGAGAATGTTCTAAATGCTTGCAGGTAAAAATTAACACCAAATACATGTAAAAACACGTTTATTTACATATCTATATGAATTTTTTTCAGATGCTGATCTGATAATTAGCTAGCAAACGCACTGTTGAGTGTTCAGCCAAAAAACATTCACAACATTAATAGAAGAGAAGAAGAAGAATAACATAACCTACAATTCCTACAAATTTTTTTGATCTCGTTTCAGTTTGTAATAGGTAAATAAATTAATAAAAATTAATTGCATCGTGTGTTCTATACAAAAATAAACAAATTTTACTAGATTTGTAGTTTTTAGGATCTATAAGTGATGTTAGAACAAAGGATATCCCAAATATTAATTGCAAGTGTTAATTTATTAATATGGTTAATACTAATGGCGGATTGAAACTAAAATACAGTGTTACCAGAATTACATACACACTTTCTATGAAAAAAATCCTGTAAGGCCAGAAATTGACCTGGAAGAACTAGAAAATTAGCTAAAGGAGGACGAAAACTACAAAATGGTGGTAAGAATTGTTGAAATTTCCCAGTGTAATTCTCAATTATTATTATTAACTTCACTCTGTATATTGAATGTGTTTGCTAGATTTTAATATGATGTCTTTGTTTTTTTTTGAAGGTGATTTGAAACTATTTTTTGATTATTAAAAGATATGTTTGTCAAAGTCTCTTAAGTTATTACCTCAGATAAATTCAATAGGTTATGCGCCCAGACAACGCTATAACTAAAAGAAACTAGACACAATATTTTGCAATTAAATTGCATAAAATACAGTTATGGATAAGTTTCCAAAGATAGATAAACTTCATGGATTATCTAACTTCCACTCCTGGCGAGCAATGGCTTTTGCTTATATGGATTTATATAATCTGTACAAAATAGTCAATGGAGAAGAAACGAATCCTTCACTAAATGTTCCAGAATTTGATACGAAAGATTCAAATAAACATGCAGAAGAAAAAAACAATTATGTTTCTAAATGTGAAGACTGGAGGTATCGTCATTCCTTATCCAGGGCTTTTATTCTTTTCAATGTGGATACGAATATCGCTTCTCAGATCACTTGCTACACAGATTCTTGGGATATGTGGAGAGTTTTAAACGATCTGTTTGACCGAAAAAATGAATACTCTCTTCACGCTCTTGTAAAATCAATAGTTGGGATTAAATGCGAAAATAAAGCCAAAATACAGGAACACATTGCTAAATACAATGAATTGTGGTCACGGTTAGTAGAAAGGACTTCAGTTACTTTCAATGAAGAACGCGATTCCCTAGAAGCTGCACTACGTCCGCTAGCAAATTCAATGAAGGCAAAGGGATCACTTTTTCTCACAACCTTACCAGAAAAATTAGATAACATAATAGATAATCTAAAAACTAAACAAAACTTAACATATGATGATGTATGCGCACGATTATTAGAATTGTCTACAAAAACTAATACTATAGCTGAAGATGAACAAGCATTCTTGGGAAGAAATAAAAATTTTAGAAGATATAATACAAAAGAATGCACGTATTGTAAAGATAAGAAAAAATGGTATAAAGGACATACAATAATAAACTGCCGAAATAAAAAAGAAGATGAAAAAACAAATAATACAGTATGGGATTCAGAAGATGACGAGCATGCCTATCCAGCATTTACAATCAGTTCTAAATCAAACAGATGGATATTTGATACAGGTGCAACTTCTCATATGTCTGGAAATAAAGATGCATTTTGTAATCTTCGTCCCTACAACAGTTTCATTCGACTGGGTAATGATAAAAAGATTGAAGTTACTCATATCGGAGAAGTTAAACTTAAAGCTATATTACCTGATGGTTCAACTCTGAATGTCAGATTACACAATGTCTTGTATGCTCCAGAATTAAAGTGTTCACTGATGTCTTGGGAAACTATCAGAACAAATGGAGTAACAATGAAAGGTGATAAAGATATAACATTATGGAAAAATGGACGTATGATTGGGTGGATTGTATCTCAATTAAAAGAAAATGTTTTCCAGGAAGCTGAGTTGCAATCATCTAATTTTAGTAATGCCTCAGAAAATATAACTAGTTGGCATAGACGATTGGGACATCTTCCTATAAGTTCCTTCCGAGATCTTAAGTGCGCAGTAGCTGATCCTAATGTTATTCCGAATATTAAATCCATCATAATAGACTGTAAAGCATGTGAACTTTCCAAAATGACTAGAAGAATAACAAGAGAGCCTGGAAATGTGTGTCAATACTTGCTAGAAAAAATTCACTCTGATATATGTGGACCATTCTCAACGAAATCAATAGGTGGAAGTCTATACTACATCTCATTCATTGATGAATATTCCCGTTACACAGAGATTAATTTTTTAAAACAAAAAAGTGATGCGCTAGAAGCAATAAAAGAGTATGTACAAAAGGTCGAAAAGCAAACAGGGAGAAACATTAAAATTTTCAAATCCGATAATGGTGGTGAATATAAATCTAGAACTTTACAATTATTCTTTAAGTGACGCGGTATAGAACATGAAAATTCTATACCATATATACATGAAACGAATGGATTAGCAGAGAGACTAAATAGAACTGTAACTACAATGTCTAGAACCAATCTAATTGATTCTGATTTGCCCTTGACATTATGGGCAGAATCGGTAGCACACTCGGTATATATAAAAAATAGAATTCCTCACGCATTCAATAAAAAAACTCCCTTTGAAATGTTTTTTGGAATGAAACCAAAGATAGGTCATCTACAATACTTCGGCCAAAAGGCCTATGTAAATATCCCTTCGGCAACTCAAAAGCCAGGAAGCAAACTGTATCCTAGAGCCTACAAATCATTTCTAATCGGATTTGGCAAAAAAGCAGGCTGGTACCGGTTTTGGAATGGTAAAACTATAATTGTGTCGAAAGACTTTAAGTTAATCCCTCAAGAAGGTCAAGAAGGAGTAATATTTATATCACCATTAGAAAGAAAGGAACTAAACAATACCCCTGTACAAAATCCTAATGAAAATAGTGGAGAGACTGATCAAAGTGAAAATAAAGAAATTCAATTTAATTTGTCATCAACACCCTATGAGGAACCAGACTTAGTACCAAATTCTACGCCATCAACATCCAGTAAAGAACCAGATTTAACACCAAATTATGTATCCTTCAGACGCAGCGCAAGAGAAAGTAAACCGCCTATTCGCTATACAGAGGAATTTTGTAACTTAGCTTTAGATGAACCACTTTCATATATAGATGCTGTTAGAGGACCTGAATCAGATTTATGGATAGCTGCCATCAATGATGAACTCGAGTCAATGAAGAAAAATAATGTTTGGGAGATTATTGAAATGCCTCCTGGAGAAAGAACCATTGGATGTAAATGGGTTTTTAAGAAAAAGCTAGGAGATAATGGGAAAATCTCCAAATATAAGGCAAGACTAGTAGCATAAGGGTATAGTCAAATACACGGTATTGACTTTGAGGATACTTTTGATCCCGTAGTGCGCTACGAGACAGTTAGAATTTTACTAGCACATGCAGTTAACAAACAAATGGTTGCCAGACAGCTAGACATAAAGACTGCATTTCTCAACGGCGACATAGACTTTCAAATCTATATGAAATTACCAGAAGGTTTGAGTGAGGAACAAGGGAGAGTATGTCTTCTAAAAAGAAGTATTTATAGATTAAAGCAGGCCCCACGTCAATGGAATCATAGGCTAGTACCAGTTCTTAAAGGCATTAATCTCCACCAATCAGTTGCAGATCCATGTTTATTTGTATCATCGGATTATCAACTGGCTCTAGCAATATATGTAGATGATATATTATTATTAGGAAGTACCGAAGAAAGGATACGCAAAATCGAAAATACTCTACAAATTTTGAAGTCACTTTTCTTGGTATACCAAAATTTTTATTATCGTTACAAATTGAATGGGGCCCAACTTATGTATATATACATCAAAAACAGTATATTCTTAAATTACTGGAGAAGTATAAAATGTCTAACTGCAATCCTACATCTACGCCAATGGATCCAGGCTGCAAGCCACAAAAAGCAAAAGAAGGTGATTTGAGAACCGATAAAAAATGTTACCAATCAAAAATTGGAAGTCTTCTTTACCTCGCTACAGGAACAAGGCCAGATATAACGTTTGCAGTTAATATATTATCACAATTTTGTGTAGATCCTACGGTTATTCATGATAATATGATTCAACATCTCTTACGTTATCTCAGAGGATCCGTAAATCAAAAACTTATATACAAATACACAATTTCACCATCAATATCAATGTTTAGTGATGCTTCTTATGCAAGTTGCATTGATGATAGGCGATCGTATAGTGGATATATGGGTTTTTATGGATTGGCTCCTGTATCTTGGACTACTAAGAAACAGCAATCTGTGGCAGTAAGCACAACAGAGTCTGAATATATGGCACTAAGCATAGCTTGTAGACAAGCTATTTGGATGCAATATATCATAAAAGATCTTCTTGGTCAAACCAATACACTATTACTTTGTGATAACCAGGCCGCAATACATATTTCTGAAAATCCAGCTCTTCATCAACGAAGCAAGCATATAGATATTCAGTATCATTATGTTAGGGAACGCGTTATATCGAAAGATGTTAACATCGAATATATTCAATCAAAGGAAAATATTTCAGATATGTTAACAAAGCCTTTATCAAGAGATTCCTTAAATTATTTATATGCAAAAATAATGGAGAATACACACTGAGGGAGAGTGTTGAAATTTCCCAGTGTAATTCTCAATTATTATTATTAACTTCACTCTGTATATTGAATGTGTTTGCTAGATTTTAATATGATGTCTTTGTTTTTTTTGAAGGTGATTTGAAACTATTTTTTGATTATTAAAAGATATGTTTGTCAAAGTCTCTTAAGTTATTACCTCAGATAAATTCAATAAGAATTAAAAAAAATATATTTGTACTTTCACTAAACATAATAATCATTTATGTAACTCTTGTTTTTGTTAGTGAAATGCCATGTACAATTTTTAATGTTTTACGTTCGACAAATTCGATTAAAATATTCTATTAGATACGTACACTTAATTTGAATATGTACCAAGTTTGTTGATTTTTTTTATTTTTTAGGTTCAATGAAGATCCAATGGAATCAAACAAATGAAACTCAAGCCATTGATACAATAAAATATTGGTTGGTTAACGCCAGAGAAAGAATTTGTAATAAAATAGTATGAATTTTTTGAAATAAAGATTTAAAAAATGGTCACGACTTTCATTATAAACACTTATTCTATAATATTCAATATTAATAAAACATACTGTATTAGGGTGTCTAGTATATGCCTAGCATATGCTATATTTAAATACTTAGCATATACTTAGAACGTACTATCAAATTAAAGTAGATACTTATTGCATACTGTACTCATACTTGAAGTACATTCTTATTATCTGCATATCACGTATAAACAACGTCACGTTACATATGCTTAGTATATTCTGAGAATGTACTAAATGCAAATAAAGAATATTCTCAGCATATGCGTATTCTTAAAAAGTGTATACTAAAAATATGCTAAGAATGTATAAATGTTATCTGGGTAAAACCCCTTATTATGTGTACCAAATATCACTGGAATATAACCCATTAAAATTTATTTTTTCAACACCCTGTATTTCGAAAACGAAGCGACATTCTAAAAAATTTTATTCCACATTTTCGTCTTAAAATTAGGTGAGAAGTCTCCTTTTTCCTTTTGTCAGAGAGATTAGGAAAAACTTTCAGTTCTCCTTAATGAGCTGATTTCAAATATGAAAAATAAAGAATTACAATAAACAGTTATTGTTATTTTTTTACAGCATTTGTGATTATTGACTAGTCTAGAGAAGAAAAAAGTGCCGTAATTCAATTTGCAAAATGTAGTACATGTTCAAGAGGAAAACATTTTATTTATACCTCATCTTTTAATGCTTATTTGTAGTAAAAATGAAAATTTTAATACATCTGATCAGCCTGATAAAAGTCGTTTCGCTTAGAATTAATCATGTTTCCATGGTTTTTACTGAAATAAACCTTTTCTTTTGACAGACAAGTCAGACTTTATTTATTCATAGCCATATCGTATGTATTTTAATTGATTCGAAATTATGTATTAGTATATAGTATAATTTTATAGTCATATAAAAATGGCGAGTGCATTAGAAAATATTGCAAGCACAAGTACGCGTTAGCGATCTATTGGACATAAAGCATTACATTCAGAAGAAAAAATAAATATCGTACTAATTGTATTTAATAATCTTCGGAAAGACTTTGTTTCACTTTCTGTGGGTGAAATAGACACTAAATGTGACATTATTAAAGAAGATAGAGTTTTTGGAAAAGTCTCACATCCGAAAAAGCTCACAGGAAGAAACAAGACCTTTCGAAATGAAATTCCTACACTTAAAAAATTCCAAATATATCATATTTTCATCTGCAAAAAATATAACAAGAATTAAATATTCGTTACAAACGTGACAGAAACAGCTTTTTAACAAGGGAAGGCAAATATTTAATTTAAATGACATGGGTTAATGCTAGACATATAGTAACAAAAATTTGGCAAGATACCTCAATCAAAACTAAAAAATATGCTAAGAATGTATAAATGTTATCTAGGTAAAACCCCTTATTATGTGTACCAAATATCACTGGAATATAACCCATTAAATTTTATTTTTTTAACACCCTGTATTTCGAAAACGAAGCGACATTTTAAAAAATGTTATGCCACATTTTCGTCTTTATGGAAGGGGTCTCTTGTGGATTAAAAAATCCAACAGGAAAATTAAATCGTTTAATAATAACCCACACCGATGGATTTTTGCCAGATGATTTATTAATGTTCGAGTCAAAGAAAACAAAATACTACCATAAATAAATTGATGGCCCTGTGTATGAAAATTGGTTTCAGAACATTATTAAAAAAATTTCAGCCAGCTCCGATATTGTTTTGGATAATGCATATTGCATCCTATCACAGTCGATTAAACGAGTCACTACCTACAACAAGATGGAAAAAAGAAGATATTTCAAAATGGCTTTATTCTAAAAATATTATTAGTCCTCATTAATCCTTAAAGGCAGAATTACTCGTAATAGCAAGGCAACATAAAAACAAATTCAAAAAATATATTATAGACGAGATGGCCCTAGAAAAAGGAATTTAAATTCTCATGTTGCCTCCTTATCACGCATCCCATCCCATTGAACTGACCTGGTCACAATTAAAACGTGTTGCTTCTCGAAACAAATACATTTAAATTACCTGATCTGCGAAATTTATTTTTTAAGGCCGTTTCCCAGACAGCACACCAAATCCTTTGGATATCTACTGAACATCCCAATATCCACTGAATGTCCAGTCCATGGTGGATATCTATTTTATATCCATGAAATGTAATTTATAGACATGCAAATGTCCATAAATAATAGTAATTATATAGCAAATTATTAAAAAATTACGCCATTGTGCTCGCCATTGTGGCTAATAGTACCGTTCAGATATTTAAAATTAATTTTTTTAAGGTGTATTCAATATCCCATGGACATCCACTATAAATATAAATATATCAATGTCTAAGCGCGGACGCAAACCATCGTGGATATCTACTAGATGTAATTTTTGATTTTGCTTCCTAAGTATAGATGGCGATACCACTTTCGTATCTACTCATGCTCAACCCGCCGTAAATGAGTTCGATCGAATTTTTTTTTCACAATCAGACTCTATTAGAGACTGGAGTCGAGAATTTCCATTTATTGCTGAAGAGTCCTAATAACGATGACTTTCTCCTTAGTGCCCTTATAGTGGGCAAAATCAAAGGCAGATTGTTGGAAATATTTTTTATCTCTATTTTCTTTCGACGTTATTCAATAATCATTGGTTACTTATGAACCTCTACTAAAGATACCTACACAATATTTTGCTGAATATCTGAATTCTACATCCATATTGGATATCCACAAAATATATTCTGTGGATATCTCTGGGATTTCTTGTATTGTCTGGAAGGTACTCATTAGATATTTTGCTGAATATCCATAGGATATCTTCTATATTCTGGATGTAGACGGACATTTGGATATCCATATTAGATCCACGGAATATTTCTGATATCCTGTGGATATATTGGATATCCACAAAAGATATTCTGTGGATAGCTCTGGGATTTGGTGTGTTGTCTGGGTTCAGATGTAAATGGAGAACATTGGAGGAAATGCATTGATCACGTTAAAAACGTGGAAAATTCATTTTGGAAAGTGGATATAGCAATGGAAAACTTAATAGACCCTATTATAATAAACCTTAGAAATTACAATAATAATGATACCAATAGTTATAGTGAAGACAGGGACTTTTAAAGAAAATTTTTCAACTTTTTATATTTTTGAATCTTTGGTTTTAAGTGTTACTTTTAATGACAAGAGATTAAAAAAAGTTTAATCCCATTAACAACATATAAAATTTCTTATTTATTGGTTAAATTTAATTCGTTCAATGTTAAAGTGCAGCAATTTTGTCAGAAGCATAAGGTTTATTTTTATTTTTTATAAAAATATAACCTTCTTCATTTAAAATTTATTCTACGAAGTGCATAAATACCATTTTATATGCCGTGACCTTATTTATATTACAGAAACTTATTTTGCAAATTACGGCTATGGAATATGATGTTATATTCCCACTTTTACTGAACTCCTCTTTTATTCATACTGTTAAAAAATAGTATTTATCGTATTTGAAATTAAATCGGTAGATACTGTTAAAACTGTAAAATTATTTAATTATATAGAAGAAGAAGGAAAAAGGAAAATTGAAAAATGAAAAGAAACCAATGACGTATTAAGAGATACACAGTTTGTTTTTCCTTAATTCACCACTGATCGGATAGTAAGAGAAAACAGAACAGATAAAGAGAGAGAAAGATACATACGAGTACATTTAGAATTCGCCTTGAACCCACCGAGACTTGGCCTAAAGGCTTTTGTTCCTCTTGTCCGATTTTTTCCAAAGCTTTATCAGACTTCGATAACAATTTCGTCTCAACGAAAGTCTTCAGATCCGTAATTTTCATACGTTTCTTCACTTTTTCACTAGACGTCCTTTTATGCAGAGATTCCTCAGATTTTGTTAATCCCACGAAAGGCGATTCTTAAAAATACAGTAAAGTAGTAAATATTTATTATGTATCAATCATATCTGGTTACTACATTATTTTTTATTTAATGAAAATAATAAAATATTATACAGATTCATCACAAAATTGTTAAACAGTTGTTCCTCAAGGCTCAGTCAAGTGCCTCATTTTTGTTACATTTTAACTTACAAGCTGCGGTGAATTTTAATGATCTCTACTAAAACATACAAAGGTTACGAGAAACTATACTTATGTGTTATATACAGTTCTTTAAAGCCAAATGAACATTAAATGTCATTAATAAAGTAAATATGGATTTATTTCATTAAAAAAAATGCTCATTATAATAAATTTATTCAAAAAATGTTGTAAAAAGTGTAAAAAGAACATGGGATACAGATAACTTTTTGGTTTACTAATAAAAATTGTTTTTTAAATGACAAAAACTTTAGGAAAAGCGGAACTTTACTTGTCTTAACAGTACGAGTATAAAAGTTAAAATGTAAAAGCTAGAAAATGCCGGCAACGAACCAGTTTTGTTGCTGCTAGATCTTGGTGGGGCCTTATCTTAGACATGCAGCAGTGGGGCACACACTGGAAATGAATCCCGGGATTCGTTTTTCCCTTAGGAAAACAAGTTCTCCGCTTAATGAAAATTAAATATATTTCAAAACAATCAGTTGGGGCAATAACGATTTCTGAATGTGACTACAGGGAGCTAAATGTGACCACTCAAAATGCATTTAACTATGTATGTGGCTATTTAATCAAAAAATCATTACATATCCACTGCAATTTAATTAACAATTTTAACTTGTTAACGCATTTTAAAGCATACGACTCTGAAGAAAAGGTGTTTGGCCATTTAAAATCTCCCAGCGAAAAATTTCTCTTCTATATTTTCAAATTAGAAAAAATATTTATATCTCTATTTGATAGTTTGTCAACTAAGCCTGGAATTTCCAACGCATACCTTTTTGAGATGAGCAAAATAGAATTTTGTGATCCTTGCAAACAATTTGCGAAAATATACACCATTAAATTATGTATAAGACTTAGAATTTTTTATACTCTTAAATATGCAAACAGAGATTTGAAATCCTCGAAAAAGTCAGACAAAACCAAAAGAAAAATTAAAATTTTGTCCCATTTATAAATATTATTGAGTTTTTTTTCATCATATGTTTGACTGCTTTATAAAAAAAAAGTTATTTTTTTTTGAAGTTTTATTTCCTAACTATTCCAATGGTCCAACAAACATTTTTTCGTAATCACAATAAATAAATTATTATCATGGCCCAACAAACGCATCGCCTTTGTGAGGGAGCCGGTAAAGATGCCGCTGCGTACATTCGTATCTGGTCTAGGTAATCTGTGCCATGGGTACAGCACGTCACGATAAGGACAGCGCCCCGCTTGTGACGTATAATCCATCGAATGTGTTTATCTCAAGCTAAGTGATATTGTCATTGTTCTTGTTTTTCGCATCATAATGAGAGAGAATACAACAGAGGCACACATTTACTGTGCCCTGTTCCACTTAATTTCGGAATTCTCGTAATGTCGCTCAACGCCCGGTCGTCCAGTGTCGTGCCAACGCGGTTTGCGCTGAATATTAGATAAAATAATAATAGGCATTGAGGAAAATATAAAATATGTAAGTTATTTTTTTTTTTGTTTATTATACTAGGGCACGTGCCCAAGTGCCCTTACGGGCAAACCGCCACTGCTTACAGTACCCTGAAATAAAGCGGTTGAGAGCCGGTAGTAAAAGAAAAGAAACAGCAATTATTAACAAAATAAATTTAGAAAAATAAAATAAAAGCACTCTAACAACTCGAGGTAGTGTTCGGTACCTCCGGTACTCCTAGTATACTATAAAATAATTTTCCCACCAAAAACTATTTAAATGCAATAGCTAAACAATAAAATAGTCCAAGATCCCAGAGCGATAAGACATCTTATTTTCTCAAAGATGAAACTTTAAGTTCTCAGTAGCGTATCATGTGCTTTGAATACCTGCGTGCTTGTGAAGCTTGCCCTGTGACACCTGGCCAGGTACCAAGTGTGAAAGGTAACTAAAAATAAGAGTTACTTAACTTAAATTTATATGGCTGATTTTTAGATATATTTAATAGACTATTATTCTCAAGTAGTATCACAAGTGTCAGACACTTTCCATGGACCAAAACTTTTATCAGACGCTTTAAAGCTCCCTCGTTGATTTCTTTATTCAACATTGGGCATCTGATGAAATGGTATTCTTTGTTGAGAATAAATAATTATAAATTTAAAACAACGTCAGTCTTACATCGTTGATAACAAAAAACTTGTATCAGGTGTAGATGACAGTTTATCCTGTCCAGAGCATGATGAAGCTGACACAAAAGTTGTTTTTCATGTTTGTAATATATACGCTCAAGCAAATTTTGTCATTAGATGTTCTGATACTGATATTGCGATAATTATGTTAGAAAATATGAATAATTTGAAAAATGATGATTCCAATGTATGGTTATACGCAGGCACCGGAAATAACCAAAGATACATTAATTTAAAAAAAAAATTCGAGCCTTTAAGCCCATTTTTGTGTAGAAGTTTACCAGAATTTCATGCATTGACTGGGTGTGACTTTAATCCCTCCTTTTTTAAAAAAGGTAAACAAAGACCTTTTAATATATTGATGAAGAAGCAAGAATATTAGCTAGCTTTTATGCAATTCCGAAGTCCAGAGTCGTTTACCGATGCACACATACAACAGGATATTTTTAACAAAGTACAAAAATTTATCTGCGAAATTTATAATGTTCTTGGCATACTTGACGTTGATGCTGCCCGACTTTAGATGTTTTTAAATAATACCAAAAAATTTTGATGCTAGCAATTTACCACCATGCAAAACTGAGTTATTTCAACAATTTCTCCGAGCTAATTACATTGCTAGCACATGGAATAATGCAAATTAAAAACAACCAACCATCTTTACTCCTGAAAATAATGGGTGGACGTTAGAAGAAAACCAATATCACTTTCATTGGTTTGATGGTGACCAATTACCAGAAGACATTAGTGAATCACTTCAAGATCCAGGTACTGTACTTTGACTTCACATTTACAATCTATTTTTTGTTTTATATTTGTATTTTTATGTTTTGTAATTCGTTTATTTGTTTTTTACAGAAGAAGCTAGCAGCAACGACAACATAACTGATGACGATGAGGATGATGACTCGAATGGACAATGATGAAAATTCTAATGATTATTTTGATGATAATCACGATGATTAAGGACAATCAAATACTTTCACTTACTAACCATAGTTAATTTTTTTTTACTAAAATTATTTTTTCTTAAAAATGTCAAAACTTTTATCTTTGGTAAAAATAATAAAAATATTTTTTATAAAACACAATTACTCCGAAAAAAAATTAATTTACCAAATATATGCAATAAATTATTTAATAATTACTTATTATTATCTAATGTTGAAATTCAGCTTATTTTAATAGAGATGCAAAAATATGTAATCTAAAGCAGTAAGTACTTTTTTAAATATTTAAATTCTTTGGTCTGAAAGGCATGCGCATAGTGCTCTCGCGCTCGTACTCACGGCCGAACAATTTTTGTGTTTAGTGGATTTATGGTCATTACAATATGTCCGACTGATTAAATATAATTTTGTAATAGTTATCTTGATAACATATTTAAAAATCAGACATTTAAAAATAACTAAAAATCATTTATTTTTTGTGGAGCTTTAAAGCGTCTGACAAAAGTTTTGGTCCATGGAAAGTGTCTGACACTTGCGATACTACTTGAGAATAATATTCTATAAAATATATCTAAAAATAAGCCATACAAATTTAAGTTAAGTAACTCTTATTTTTAGTTACCTTTCACACCTGTTACCTGCCCAGGTGCCACAGGGCAAGCTTCACAAACACGCAGGTATTCAAAGCACATGATACGCTACTGAGAACTTAAGGTTTCATCTTTGAGAAAATAAGTTATATCTTATCGCTCTGGGATCTTACTCTAAAAGGAAATATGAAATAACTAGAACGGTAATTACGGCGCTCCCTGTGTAGTAGAAAATAACATTTCTATCAAATAAATTGTTTAAATGCAATGGTTAAACAATAAAAGAAAATATGAAATAGCTCAAACGGCAATATCGGTACCCCCTGTATATTAGAACACAATATTCCTATGAAATAAATTATTTAAATATAACAGTTACACAATAAAAAGAAAATATGAAATAACTAAAACGATAATTATTATTAATTCGATACGGAATAAATTAAACGTTTATTTCAGCACTCCCTGTATAATAGAAAATATGAATCGTTCACCTAGACGGCAGGTCGCCAGAGGCAAAAACCGAATGATTAGCAGCCTTCGTATGCTAGCAACGATGAGGTGATACGAAATACGAGATTTTAAACAAAATTCTTTGGATTTTTGCTATCCAGATGGGAACGACGAATACTAAATTCTGTAGGAATTCGGATAGTTCGTTTAGGGTGGTTTTGAAAGGTGAAACGGAATAAGTTCTGGAGGGAAAGCAAACTAGAAATAAACGTAGAATTAGGGTCGCTCTGACTTTTTAAGGAAATTGGGTAGAACAGCTAAGACTTTGATATACTTGAATCAATATTTTCCCAATAAACAAAAAAAAAATAAAGGAAATTAAATTAGACCCTACACTCGAGTTTTGACTTGGGTGTATTTTTAAGGAAATTAGGTAAACAGATGACACTGTGATACACTTGAATCACTGTCTACCAAATCTCAAAAAAAAATGACCAGCGGTTTTCTAAAAAAAAAAATAAATAAATAAATAGCTCCTACCTTGAGTTTCGGGGTGTTCGGCGATATGGAATATTAAAATGAACTTTTTGGCACTATATCAAAATACTCGATGGGAGAGCGA